TGTTTGCATTAATACTTAAATTTGATTAAGTTTTTAATATAGATGGATACACTTTAAAAAACAAATGTTAACACTATTTTTGATAAAATTTCAAGTAATAAAATTTAAAAATCTGTCATATTTAAAATTGAAGTAAGCATAAGTATAAGTGAACAAAATAAAAAGTGGAAATTCTACTTCAAGTATAAACTGCGCAGTTTAATTTAGAAGAAAAATTTTTTTACAGACAAAAATATGTTTAAAACTAAAAAAAAAAAAAACATGCTAATCTAAATAATACTATTACATGTTATGTTTAAAAAAATGTGAAAGAAGCCTTACAGCATTTAAAATTTTAACATTTAAAAATTATCTTATAACCTGAACATCACAGCATTTAAAATAACAACCAATGATTTTAGAATGAAAAGTATAAGTTTTTCAAACCTCACTTTGTCTCCTTGGACACCAATTAGAAAACAAAATGTTAATACCAGAATCTGAAAATTTTATCAATTATAATACTGTTTAATTCCAACAAATATTTTACTATTAAATAGCTTGATAAGCTAAAAACTTAGTCATACAAAGAGAAAAGAAACTGAATTAAAACCACTAATCCATATAGTTTTCTCCACAATTGAATCACTACTTTGCACATTAACAAAATTTAGCCCACAAAACAAACTAATGGCTGACCTAACTTTTTAGTAGACTAGGTTGATACTTACACATGTAACACTAACTGAAAGAAGATGCGCTTGAACAGATCACTTTGTTTGAAACCATAAAAATACACTATGTTTTTAAAATATAGCAGAAATATTACTTTATAAACATGAGTAGAGCATCATAAACATTAGAGAAATATTCCAACCTTCCAAAAGTTCTAAATTGTGTTTCTAAATTGATAACCATAGCACATGAAAACTAACAACATCAGAGCTGATGTAAACAACCCAATTCTAAAAACTGATTGTCAACTTGCATCCACTGCTCAATGATCCATGATCGCAGACATTTTATTAAGGAAATTGTTCCAAGTATCAAAACTTCACCACCATCAATAGTAAACATCTATTCTGAGTAGTAATAGAATTAACACTCAGAACTAATTGAACAATACAAACCGCCTGTACGGTACTATTAAACATTTTTCAAATTACCTTTGAGACTTCCTGTAAAGTGTTTACATTGAGTCATTGGTGTTGTTGTTAAATTTTGAAGTTGGCAATTGTTGGAATTTGATACTGACTAATGTTAGATGATGATAATATTGGCTGGGATGAGAATGATAGCAGGCTTGGTTGAGGATGATGAAACTGGCTTGGATGAAGATGATAAAGCAGGCTGATATGGTACTTAAAACGGGCAATTCGTAATCTTGATTGATCAACTTTGCTAATATCAAGTGAAAACAAACCAGTGTTTTAAAATCCAGCGATTATTTGTATTTGTGTAAGTGCTTACCGAAACTAAAAATTTTACTTGTAGTTGCATGTAACTTTCTTTTATTAAGTTGTTGAAATTTGTAGCTGTATAAAATTTGTAAGTAATGTGCGCAAAACTTTATGATGTGAATATACACCTACTTCAAGACATGTTTAAAATGAGCAAGGGATTCTACCATTTCTAGGAAAAAAAATTGAAAACCCTATTTCCTCAGATAGACCTTAATTAGTAGTTAGTAATTAACTTTTATCAAAATGATGAGTTTTCAAGAATTATGACAGGAAAAAGGATTTTTTTAGTCTTAAGAAAAACTAACATGTTCAAAACAAATTTTACTTCTCAATCTTAATGAATTACATGTTGCATTTAAAAAAAACTATTCTAATGTCAAGATCAGTTTCTCAAAGTTTTTTACTTTGAAACCTAAGAGGTGCATTACAACTAATGCATCATGTACACACAATGTATGTGTATACATCATCACCAAAATACAAAATGTATGCTGCACCGATTTAAGCTATGCTCTGGTATTCAAACATTAAAAAGTTGTTTACTGCATGAGTTTATAGACCATAAGCTAGAGGAAGATGTAGTATTCAAACAAAAAGACTGATCATACAACACTACTGATACAATCATTGTCACTAGATGAGATTAATGATTTCTTATGTTGCATTGACAACCTTACCACATATTTACTTATAGCAAAACACAAAGTAGATTTTTGATTAAGTGTAAAGAAAACATTAATTAAAACGAATGTTTAATTTTAGGAATTTTTACTGAAAATAATCAATTTCCTGTCCAGGATGTCCAATCAATTTGTTGTCCAGGATGACGTTGAAAGTTATCACGGGAACAAAAGTGTTTACTTTTACAATTGATCTACTTTCAAGAAAAAACATTTCTCAAACAAAAATCTTTTTATTATTTTTCAGAAAATATTAATCATGACACAGAATTTGTTTATAAGATTTAAGAAGATATAACTCTATATCAAAGAAAATCTACCAGATGCATTATGTGTAAAGTATTTTTTTGATGGCTGTATTGCACAATTTAAAAACTTTAAAAACCTTATCAATCTTTTTCATCACAGTAGAGACTTTGATTTAAATGCTAAATGGGTACTTTTTGCTACCAGCCATGGTGAATTCCCCATGATGGTATTGGTGTGACTTTTATAAGAATAATTTGTTAAGAAAGTCTAAAACAAGTAACTAATAGCCAGATTTTGGACGTTAATTTAACGTACTTTTTTCATAACTAAAAATAAAAAGCCAAAATAACTGGCATTTTTTTAAAGTTATTTTTAAAGGGCCAAACTTGAGCAAAATTAGAAAAAAAGATATATAGATGGTAGAACAGTTTCTTTCACAAAGATGTATCATAATTTTATTGATTATCATCATTTACAGCCAATAAATTTGAAAAAAAATGGATACACGATACACGAGGATGTTCTAATATAAGTAAATATACACAAGGATACACGAGGCATTTCTTGAGACTATCAAGCTCTAAGAGTTTATTTTAATTCCTCAAGCAAAAATCTATTCGGATTTTAAATTTTAGGAAATTCCTCCAAACCATTATCCAGAAATTATATACTTTGTTGTCTCTTCAGATAACCACAAAAATGCTGAACCAGCATTATTTCAACTGACGATATCTCAACAATCCATGTATATTTTCAGCTGTAATTCTTGCAGTTATCAATTATTTAATATGGACAGCAAATGATATAAAATTAAACCTATCCTAAAACCTATGGGCGACAATTGTTTTTTTATTTTTTTAAATGATTTCATAAGGAATGACCCTATAGAAACCTGCATAAAAGAATAATCAAAGGGCTCCAATCTGATTTTACTATGAAGATTAAGCATTTGATTATTGGAGTCTTTGTGAGACTAATTTAATTCTAGTAAATTTTGAAATATGCATCATTCAACAGATGAAAAGTTACTTCAAAAACCAAAAATATTAAAAAAAAAAAAAAAAAAATTTTAAAATATTTGTAAAAGATTAAAATAATTTTGTAGTAATGTTGGTTTTCTAAGTTAAATACTTTTAGGTATTCTAGTCATGTTTGAAATTATTAAAAAATTTTACTCTATCATAGATAGGGCAGAGCACCCTAAGCAACAATCTAAACATAAGCTATATATAAGTCTTGGTCCTCTTAATCAATTCGAAGTTGTAACAAAGGGCTCCTTATGTGATTTCAAAATGCATAATGTAATATTGACTAGCGAAGATGTAATTATTTCATTAGCAATGTTTGCAAGTTTAACACACAGTAAACTTCTTTGCTCTTATGCTATTTGTGGTTGATATTTGTGGTTGACCAAAAGCATGTCTGTATATTTCACAATTCAATTTTATTGTTTCAAAAAAAATGTGAAAGAACTATTATTGGGAATAACCAAAGTTAATATAAACCACAATTTTTATTTAATAAATCAAAAAAATATATATTTTTTTGATTTAGATCGGATTTTTTAAAGTTAAATCCGGGTTGTTTTTTTTATATTGAATTACCCTACATTAAAAAGAAAACAAATTAAGTTAAACTATAATATAAAATCAAAATGATATAATTTGAAAAATTAAAAAAAAAAATTAATGCTTATTATTTAAAAATTATCTAAATTAATTAACTCTAAATTAATTTCATTTAAGTTTTCATTAATTTCAAATAAGTTCATTAACTTCAATGTTTTCTAAACTTAAGAATTTTTTTAAACCAAATTGCCTGTTTTCTCAATTCTGAGTCTGTTTCTAATGTTTAAATGCACAAGACCAAATTATGAAAATGTTCTTTCAACACCTGCAGATAAAGCAACAGTAGTAACTGGTCAACAACTTTCAGTAATTCCTGATTCACACAATTATTTTGAGATTTGCACAACTCGCATAGTTTTAAAGTTTTAAAAAATTATCATGAAACTTAAACTTTGTGCAACTTCTGCTTTTAAAATTAACCAAAAGTTAAAGTAAATCTGAATTTTTTGAAGCTGTTTAGTCCATTCCAATCTCTATTTCTTTATTATTTAAATCTTTACATCTTTATTTAGGATTAACCATATTAACCAAGGGGTTATTGCCTGATGTATTCTTTCACTTCACCTTTCAGTATCTTGGCTAAACATTAATTCTTTTTTTAACATCTTCACTTTCAACAAGGCTGCAAGCAACCACTATTAGAGTTGGAAGTTGCTGGAAGAGAAAAGATGAAGTTTATAAAACAAGACGACTTAAAATATTGCAAATTGTATGAATCAGGTAAACAAGATGAAGGAAGCAAATACCAAAGAACTGATGTTCGAGGAAAAAACTAGACAAATAAGAACTTTTGGAGCACTTAGGAACTGCCACAGTAAAAGGATGAGACTTAATTGAAAGACAAGTTTAATAAATTTTAGTAGATGGCACAAGAGACACTAGTACTTTAGAGCAGTGCTCATCATAGTATTTATAGAAAAGAGAAAGAGAAGCAACATACGACTATGTGACAATGGTTAAAGGTTGGCTGCAAGAGCAGGTCCAACTATCTTTATATTTTTTTGTACCTTGTCTAAGAAAGAAAGGGCATCATTTGAAGATTTGCTCCAGATATGGCAACAATACTCTATACAAGGACAGAGTAGAGATTTATAAAAAATAAAAATAGAATATAGAAGTAAGAAAGTGGCAAGCACAATAAAGAGATGCAAGCTTAGCAGATGCTAACTTTGCAACAGATTTGATATATAGTTTCCAAGAAAAATCAGAAGTAGAAGTTAATCCTAGAAGACGAAGGGTAGATGACTCATCAAGTATATTACTGTTCATAAATATAGGAAGATTATTCAATAGCAATTAGCAAAAAAAAAAATTAGACTTATCTGAGTTAAAGTTCATCAGCTACTGCAAGCCCCATGCTGTAGCAGTGAGATCCTTTTCAGGCTCAAATGCCCCCTCTAAGCAATCAGAGAGTGTTGGCTTTTTGTCAATGCAGGAATAAATAGTAGTATCATCAGCCAGCAATGCCGCCTTAGATGTGAGAATATCTGGGAGATTGTTAATGTAAACTAAAAAAATATGGGGCTAAGGATAAAACCTTGAGGAACCCTGAAGTTACAGGAAATGAAGAAGAGTGCTGTCCATTGAGGACAACTTTTATACTACAATCAGTAAGGAACAATTCATTAGTAGAACAAGAAGATCGAAATCCATATTGATGATCTTTCTGGTAATCAATATGGATTTTTTTCTCTCCACATCTATCTAATGCACAATAAAACCTATCAGTTATTACCGTTAATAAATCAGCAGTAGAACCAGAAGATGGAAGTCCATATTGATGACCAAAAAGTATGTTATTAGATTCAAGATGAGAGGTCAAGTCTTTGTTAGTTAAAGATTTAAAAACCTTGTTTATGATATGAAGAAGATTCACAAAAATTTATTTCTATAGAGTATTTATTCTTTAAGAGTTTTTTATTACTTTCATATTAAATTTCTATCAGATTTTCTTAATTCCAGGACAAGTTGACTTGGTAATGCGAGGTTCTTGTCAACATTCTTGAGGCAGTTCTTTATCCTAATACGAAGTTATTTCAGAATTTTTGCTTCCTAGTTCTTGGTATAGCCCAATCACTATAGAATTCTCCATAAATCCTCATTTGAGAAATATTTTAGGAGATTTTGTGGGTTATCCACTTTTGTCACATAATTTACAGAGTGCTTTTCAAAGAACAATCCCATTGTTTTGGTATAATGTAATAAAGTCTGGTCAGACCAAAATAAATATTAGTCATCATTATGATATTGTTTAATAAAAGGTACTAGTCCTTTCTTGATGCAATGCATTCGAATTGGTTCTTTATCAAATTATAGTAACTGACACTTGTCTTTTTAAATTTGTGTGCTGCCTGTCTCAGCTAATATTTATTACAGTCATTAGACCTGATTTTGAGGTGCTTAAAGTTTTTTTAATTTATTTTTCTGGTAATCCAATTGATTTCATTATCTTTTTTATAATCAGAACTTTTTTATAATCAAGGAAAATATAATCTTTTAAAAGCAAAGAAGATTGTTTCAAAGATGGTTTTGCTAGGTATATTTTTTATTTTCAAGTGTTCCAGGGTACCTTTTTTTGTAAGATTGGTGCTAAATATCACAAAAAGTATAGTCTTCATATACTTGATGAACATTTTTTGAATAAAAAATCATCTAATTAGGCTTATAATAATAAATTTTAAAAATTATTTACTTCTTTAAAATTATCTATTTTTTGAATAAAAAATCATCTAATTAGGCTTATAATAATAAATTTTAAAAATTATTTACTTCTTTAAAATTATCTATTTATTTATATATAACTATCGTATATAGATAATATATTAAATAATAAATTTTAAAATTACTTACTTCTTAAGAAATGTTTTATTTGAATGCACCAAGAGTATTTTTTTCACATTCTGTCCTATAAATATTTTATTCATTGTTTAAAAACCTAGTAACCTAAAGATATTTAAATATATTTCCTTTAATTATATTATACATAAACTAATTACTCAAAATTAAAAATAATAATCTACTATTATTAAATAAAATACAATAACAAAAGATTATTTAATAATAAAAATACACAAAGTTGTACAATAAAAATACACAAAGTTGTACAATAAAAATACACAAAGTTGTACAATAAAAATACACAAAGTTGTACAATAAAAACACACAAAGTTGTACAATAAAGATACACAAAGTTGTACAATAAAAATACACAAAGTTGTACAATAAAAACACACAAAGTTGTACAATAAGTCAAACAAGTATTATTTAATATATAAAAAGTGAACTTTTAATAAATTAAATGGTTGTTTAACATTGTTGTATGTAATAAATGCTTATCTCTTTGCATGTATTAACTAAATCATTCGATAATGTTCTCAGATAAAGTGTCTAAGAATACTTTACGCATGACTTTCAAACACTAAAATATCATTAGATTACACTAAAAATTGGCCAAGTAATATAAATTTAGTTTAAAATAATAATAGTATAAAGATATTTTTGTTTCTAGATTCCAACCGCTGCAAGTTTTTGCAAAACATAATTTGAATTAAGCATAAGTGTACTTAAATTTAAAGCTTTCTCCATGTTTGCAAATTATCTAATCTCAATTCACCAAAAAAGCCACCATAATCCCTAAGTTAATGGTAGTTAACAATTCATAATAATTCTCCTTTTTATGAAGAAGAGCGCAATGCAAAAGCTAATTAAAATTGATTTATAACTTTGTCTATGTTTTTTACTTTGTGTATTTGATCGCATCATTTAAGAACATAGTACTCTCAAATAATAAGAGAAAAATAAAATACCAGGAAGGTTAAAGTAGTATAATCAATATATATATCAACAATATAGACAAAGGCTTTAGATGTAAATATAAACAACATGTCCACTGCTCTGTGTATAAAATGCAAGACAGCAATATCAAGATCAATTAAACTTTTTTTTTAAGAAGATTTTTTTACTTTTATTGTTTTTACTGTACTTTGTTTTACATTTTGCAGAGTTTAAAAAAAACTTAATCAACTCTATGATTGATATTTGTACCCTAACTTTATTATTATATTTAATATTTTAAGTAATTGCTTATTATCCTTTAAAAATACCAAACAAACAAATATTGACAGTTACCATTCACAATTTAAAAAAATGATAAAATAAATATTTTGTACGGTAAAAAGTGCAGAAACATCCTAGATAATTTTGTGAGCTACTATTTCAAGACTTTGAAAACTAAACTGTAGTTAAGAATGATAGAGTTCATGTGGAATATATACATGAACTCATTAATGAAATATGCAAACAGAGAATAAAAGTCTTCCTAGAGTCAGAGTTAATTTGCATTGATTAAGGCTAAGGATCAATTAAGGTTGAACAAAATTTCTTTAAAGAAACTTGGGATTCAACTTAAAATTACTTGGTAACAAAAATTTTTCTTTAGACCTTAAACTAATCAATGTTATGCCAGAATTATGAAACCTGTGCATACTGCATAAGTACATAAGACAAATCAAGAAAAATCAAAACTTTTAAGAGTTTAGCCCATCATCATAAATTTAAGATATTTCTGAGATCATTAAATGAACAAAAGTTTATTTAATGATCTCAACAATAAAAGTGCAGAAACATCCTGTTAAAATTATTCAAATTAGGAATAAAGAATTATAATAAATATTATAAAATTATCACTTTTTTGATTATTTAGGTGCTCCAAGAAGTCCTAATGATTTTATCCCAGAGCACTGTGGAACAACATTTAACCAGGAACTTCATGTTGCCTTTTTTACTAATGATGCATATGGCTAGAGCCGTCTTCAAACCATTGATTTCCAGTTCTAAAGTATGAACTCTAACCACTACACCATGGCTGCATAATTACCATTATAAATTATAGTTATTATTATTATTATAGAAAAAAAGATAAGATCATAAATCCTAATCTATAAGCATATATATGTGCAGTGACTGAAAGTTTCATAAAAAAGACTAAAAAAATAATGACAATATAAATAAACACCCAAGTGGTATTTGATTGGCATATCATCAAACACCTCATAAAATTTTATTCTTTTAAAGTAGTCAGAATCCTCTGCATAATTCATGGAACAAATGAAGTACTTATTTTTGTTACCATGATCACCATATATGATGAAAGATTTATAAAATGTGAAGTGTAACTATGAAAATGATTTTTAAAATATGAAAATATCAAATAACACAGTTCCAAAAATGAGGCATTTTAATGTTAACTTTTTTCTCAACATTGTTTATGGGTTTGGTAAAAAAACTTCGCCATCCATTCATTTAAAAATTTTTCGAAATTTTTTCAGTATAAATGCTGACACAAATTTTTTATACTTTTGAATTTAGTTTTATTGTATTACAATTTACATTACATTTTTACCATATTAAATCTTACATTATTACATATTACATTGTATTACAATACAAATTACACTTTACAATGACAGCTTTTATTATTTCTAATTCAGTTTTATACAATGAAACTAAATTCAAAATAATAAAAAAACTCAATTGTCAACATTTTGACTGAAAAAGTTTAGTAAAAGTTTTTATTGAATAAAAATATTTTTCTAGAGAAGTTTTAACTATTGAATCAATGAGATCAATAAATAAATTTCTAACTTTTTCTTCAAGACACTTTAGACTGTTTATTGAATAGGCTACCTAGATATAGGTTGCCTGCAAAGCAAACTACACCAGGTAATCTAGTAGCAAGTTTTCAAAGTAATTTTTGTAGTGCCGATTTTACAGTTGTTAGTTACAAACTTTATTGAATTTGGACTCACCATTATCATCAATAAGCTTGCACTCATTATGATAATGAATGCAAGCACATTGATGATAATTGTAACATTTATTACATAGGTAACCTTGTAGTAAATTAATGGAAATAGAAATATGAGGAACTCCTAAAAAAAAAAAGTGGTGAGCCCACTTTATACATAATAACAATACTTATTTAACTTTTTTTTTTTTGATTTTTTATAACATATACTATTTAATATATAATATAAATAGTTTATACATAAATTATGTGCAACTATTTAAATGATCATTAGGCCGGGTGAATAAAAATGCACAATTCCTTTTACTCAGTAATTGGTCAGCTTTACGTGAATAATTATAATCACGAAAATAATATCACGTAAGCATTTTGCATTTTAATCACGTTAACCTTAGCAACTACTGAGTAAATTGCATAAATTTACGTAAATAAACATTTTACAAAAACTCCTGAAGTTTTTATTCACGTAAAGCTGACCGATTACTGAGTAAATGCAATTGCTCATTTTTATTCACCCGGCCTATTTCATAATGGTTAGATAAATAATTTGTACATAATGATTATCACTCCTTAGTGATAGCGCATTTATAATTTTCTAGCGAATCTTTTAAAAATCAAAGATATTTTACAACTACTATTTAAAATAATTAAATTTTTCCAAATTTAATTAATCTAATGCTAAATCGCTTAATAGATACAGATTAAAACATTAAAAATTAAAAAAAAATATTAAAAACTTAACTAACGTGACCGGTTAAAAATAAATTTTAAATTAGTAATTGCCGTTAAAATGAGATATATATGAGATAAAGTCCTTTTGTGTCAAATTACATTTTAGGATTTTGAACATGAGGAACTCTCATCGCAGAATTTTGTAAGGGGAAACTTATATTTTAGGGCGCGCCAGTGTATAATGAAATTTTTACCACCGGTTTTTTTTTACGTACGAAAACAATGAAATTAATATTGAAATAAGAAATTTGATCATTAATCTTGTAATTAACGATAAGAAAAATTGTAAAAGAAGTATCGGAACTCGTTTATAGAAATGAGACTTAAATACGACGCCAGGCCAATCGATATATATCAACAGGTACCATTATTTGTGGTATTAGAGGTGGTTTTCGACAGTCAGGTTGTACTGAAGAAATAAGAAGTAGGCTACATGCGTTAATTGGAGATAACAGAAACTGAAATATATACAAGATAAAGGGTAGAATTGGGAGTTGATGTCAATGTCTCTACATTTAGGTGATGGTTAAAAAATTGAACTATACATATAAAATTTTAAGAACCATTAGTGAAAGACGCAATACTGCAGAGGTAAAAGAGGAAAGAAAAAGATGTTTCATGGTGTTTAAACTTGACATCAATACAAATGATATTTTTTTAACAACGTTAAAAAAATATCATTTGTATTGATGAAAGTCCGTTCAATCTTCATAAGATAAGAAACTACGGATACAGTCACCGAAGAACGACCCCAAATCAACGTCAAGAGGCCGTAACATTGTCGTGATATTAGTATTAAATTGTTTAAACATAGTCCACAGTGAAGCAATAATTGGCGTAAGAGTGACAGCATATATCTTTAAAAGTATTTTGGGGGAGAAAGAAGAGCTTATCTTGAGGATGGACAACGTTAACTTTCATTATTCAGTTGTTTATGATAGTTATCCCTGTGATATTCGTTTTTACCCCGATACTTACCTTTTCTAAATCCTTGTGAAGAGAAATTGTTGGAAATTAAATATACTAAAAGAGGACAAATGCTCCGATCTGAAACAATAATTTATTAGAACGAATGAGGAACGGTTGTGAGCACATTACTGAACATGATCTTTCAAACATCGTTAGACACTGCAAATCTTTTCTTACGCAATGTGTTTATCTAATCTGGTTTAACTTGCTTAATACTTTTTAGTTTTGAATTTATTCTACATAGTAGTATAAATTTAATGTATTTATCATACATAAAAAAGCCATAAGTAATTGATAAATAATAATGTTTATTTCTCATACTGTCTACTGTTTATGATTTTTTTTTATTTTTTTACTTTAGAGAAAAGTTATTTGGAGCAGAGATAAACAACAAAACATAATACAGTATGTTAACAGTGGCAGGTTTAAGGGGAGAGCCA